GAGGGAAAGGAAGACTTCCATTCCCAAGGAGCAGTAGGCGCTAATCAAGCCTTCCTTGGCTGCTGAGATGGGGAAGTTCTGACCTCCTTAAGGCCAGTCTGGAGCCAAGGTCGGGGACACCAGAGCCTCCCTTTGAGGGGCCTCTTTTCATGAATGTAAAGCAGGACAGCACTTTGAAAGGCTTGGAAGCACTTTGGCCTCAGAGATTGTATTAAGGAGAGAATTCACAGGCCTTCTCTGGACCCCACTCTGATAAACATGTTGTGGTCCCAATGGAATGAAGCCTTGAGGTAGGACAATCCCTCCCCGTGCTAAAGCAAAGCCCTCCAACATCCATCGTGCTTCACGTCAAATCCCCAGAATTTGAATCATGGAAAAGATCAGCCTATACTTCTAGGTGAAAGTGAAATTCTTAGCACTCCCCTAGAACGTAAATCCTTATTACTTGGTGGGCCCAGCTCTGTCCTTTTGGGGGTCTCCCACACTCTATACCCTTTGGAGATTTAAAAATACCAGGTTCCCTGCCCACGTTTGATCCTCCAGGGCAAACATGCAGAACAAAAAAATATAAGGGGTGAATAGAAATGGTGATGAATTTGCCCACAATAATCTATCCTACATAGACATGCCCCAGCTATCTGCCACATAACCAAGGTTCCCATGACCCATCACGGGGAGTTCCTGAGAGCTCAGAACTGCATCTCTCCCCCAAAAAATCCCAAACATTATAAAAAGGACAAGAGGGCCCAGCTAAGCCTGCCTGGGTCCCGGACCATACGAACGACGTGTTGGGCCAGGAGCACATGTGTGCACACACACGCTGACTGGATGGGAACATTAACTGCAGTATGCAACAAACCGTTTCTACGCACCCCCGCTATCTGGGAGGCGCACCCCCACCTTTTCTGGGGTGGAAAGGGAACGTTCTCCTCGGCGGCCAGTGCTGCACTGACTGGCTCTGCCCACAGACACGGGGAGGCTCAGCTCCTGACCAGGGGTCATGGCATCTCCCCCCGACTGGAAGAGCTTTGTCCTTTGCCCCAGAAATTAGAATCTAGTCAAACTCTTGGAAGAACCACAACCAGTATCAACTGCAGAGCAGGAAACAGGGTTTTCTGTTTTGATGCTGAGACTGGACTTGACCTGGCATGATTCTAAGCCTGTGACCCTGTCAGAGTGACTGAAGAGACATAAAACCAAGTCCAGGATGGGTACATGTGGGCTTGGAAATTTATTCTGGGCCAGTCCAGTTTGAGATCTTATGACCCTCTGTGATAAACTAAATGTAGAAAAGTTCTAAAACCGCCTTTAGGCAGAAACAGGCACACTTTGGCCTGGAAGCCTTCTGAAGCGGTGCCTGTAGGGCTAAGTGCTTTTCACTTTTGTGTGCACACGAGTCACCTGGGGCCTTGTGAAAACACATTCTAGACTGCTCTGGAAGTCTGGGCTGGGACCCAAGACCTCACATTTTTCACCAGCTCCAGGTGATGGGCTGCTGCTGGTCCAGGGGCCACTCTTTGAACAGCGAGGCAGCAGACCAGCGCATCAAAGGTAATAACAGCCCACGGTGACCAGTCAGAGGCCGGGTCAGGAGGGGAGACCTCGCATCTGCCAGCAGCGCTGTCTAAGCCGTGGCCCCCGAAGTCTGTGAGGGTTGTCACATGAGCTCCTTTAGGCCTTTAATCAAACCAGTGTGGGCAAAGAGCCAGCTTTCCACTGGCCTCACTCTGTTCTAGCTCCTCTCTCATACTCGGGAGGAGCACAGACCGCAGCCAGGCCCTGGATTCCTTGTGCTGGAGAGGGAGGAGGTTGTGAAACAGGACGCCCTGGAGACCAAAGACCTTCAGCCACATAACTACTGTTCTCAGCCAGCGTGCACAGTCTGGCAGGTGTAACCAGCACCTACAGAAATAACTCCACATTGCTGAGAGATGTGTTCCAGCAGGGACAAGTGCAGGAGACTTGACAGGTCCAGAGCGGCAGCAGGAAACCTGTGGGACTCAGGGGGAGCTCAGAGATGGCAACGTTCGAGCTGGGCCCTGAAGGTGGCACAGGATTTTCCCAGACAGGCTATGGCAGGGAGGGCTATTTAGGTAGAGGAAACAGCATTGGCAGAGAGTGGGCCACACCCAGGGAACTGTAAGTAGTATGTCCAGGAACAGGGGGGTGTCAGCCCCCGAGGCCAGCAAGTGCTGGCACTGGTACTCTGTGAACAGCTCCTGCCAAAGCTGGGAGCACAGACGCCCTGGCCGTGGGAGCAGGCTGACTGGAGGGGACAGCTGGGTGCCATCAGGCCCAGTGGGAGACACAGCAGACTGGCTTTCTTTTCATTTCTAAGAAAGTATCTCCTGAAATCTGACATCTTCAGTGAACTACAACATTAAAAACACAACCAAGACAGAGCCGGATGATGAGAGCACCATGGCCATCTCTGAAGAAGACCAGGCCAAGACCCTGGAGGAGGACCCAGAGTTTCCCCTGGGCCTGGTTGCCCTTGGCTCCAGGGTCTTCTCATCTGTGAGGGATCCAGCTGTGCCAGAAAAGAGGACAGCCCAACTGGGTGGTTCAACAACGTCCCAAAGTTTTCTGAGGGCAATCAGCGGGCCTCTTGAAAACGGGGCCATGCATGGGCTCCTTACCTGCCAAGGCTGGGATGGTGACCCGGCTCCACTCCCACGGCTGGTCATACTCGTCGGCAGGCCTGTCGTCGTCCTGGGGCAGCTTGCTCTCCCGCAGCCGGGGGCTGACCGCGGTCTCAGAGTCCGAGTCAATACTCTGGCCCTCGGGCTCATAAGGGGTGTCATATAACTGGATGCCTTTGTGCTGGGACCGGACACTTTCCTGCCTCTGAAATTCTGCAGGGGAAAATGGAAAGGAGCACTTAATAGATGTGTACACATGCTTCCTCCTCTGGACCCCACCAGGACCCTGCCCCGCAACACCCACAGAGGTTCAGCTGCCGGCCCCAGAGGGTTGGGTGGCACAGGAGTGGGATCCCTTGCGTTGCGTGGTTCCTCCTGCTCCTCGACGGAGCGGCTCTGCTCACACTAGGCAGGGGTCTGGACCTCAGGCCCTGGATCTAACAGAACTGGAACCTGGCTGCCACTGCCCACAAGCTCCTCACCGGCTTCAAGGGCAGGCCCAGACTTGCACAGGATGTCCTGGGGGTGTTCAGACACCTGCCCAGAACAGATGGACCTCTCACACCCCTTGCTGACAGATACCAGTGGGGTCTGCCCCAGGAGGGCGGCTCCCTGTCTTCCGGACTTTCATTACCTGTCTATCAAATGTGGAGAGTGGGCCAAGTGACCCTCAAGTTTCCACCTCGTTCACACACTCAGATAAAAGATTAATAAGCTAAGAGCTTCTGGGTGTGTCTAGGATCGTCTTTATTTCTCTGTTGCAACGTTCCACAATTGACCTCTTCCCTGCATTTCTGCCTCCCCACAGAAAAGCCTTAATACTCGGCACACCTCTGAGCTAGAAAGGAAAGCTCCTTCTATGCCGAGACCTGGCTCCTGTGTGGGCTGAGGGGTGACCACTGATCTAGATGAGGTCCCAAAGAGGGAAATTCGTTTTAGCTGCCACTCATTCCTGAGGCCAGTGGTGGCTGAAGGATACTAGGAAGCTAGTCCCGGGCGACCTCCTCGTCAGACAGGGACACACACTGTATGCGGAGCCTGCGTGGGGACACGGCACAGAGGGAAGGGAGAGGGTCTGCTGCTGAGGCTGCTCTCTGGAAGCTGCTTTCCAGAAGACAGACCATAAATCAGCATAATACTCGGCAGAAAGGGCAGTGCAGGGCCTGTGAGACTGTGGAGGGGCGAGGCAGGAGACAGAGCTACCCCGGCAGCGATGCCTCTGGTGAGTGGAGGTGGGGGTGGGCTGGCCTCCCTGTGGGGAGTCAGGACAAGGGAGGCAGGAGGGTAAGACACTGCTTGCTACCTCCTCTCCCGTATAAAGCACTGTAACATAACGTTTGCCATTTTGACGATCTTTAGGGGTGTAATTCAGGCCATTAAGAGCATTCACACTGCGGTGCCATCTCCCCAAACTGAAGCTCTCCCACCATTAAACACTAACACCCCAACTCCTCCTCTCCCAGCCCCAGCCACCACCCTTCTACTCTCTGTGAATCTGACTCTTCTATGTACCTCCTGTTAAGTGAAACCATTTGGTATCTGTCCTCCAGTGACAGGTTGATTTCACTTAGCATAATGTTTTTAAGGCTCTTCCATGTTTTACCACATGTCTGAGTTTCGTTTTCCTTTCAAGGCCAAATTATGTTTATTCACCATCCATGTTTTCTGAAGCGGCGGGTGTAAAGAGGTGAGCGAGTGGAGATAGGGTGTTGTACAGAAGGGAAGAAAGTAAGCTGTTTGAGTGGACTCCAACGCAGAGTTCTGACCACAGGACACATGGCAGAAGCCTGTGGGAGTTATGTCCCTTGAAGAAAAGTTGATAAAACACAGGGCTGACGTCAGCCCGCCAGCCCTCCCGAGCAAGAGCACCGCTTTCACACTGGCCCTCCTGATCCAAGGTCGGCTCTCGGGCATGATCAAACCTCCTAACTCATGCACACACCCTAATACCAAGGAAGCGGGCTAATGCCAAGCCAGTGACTGTTAGTGCTGAGGTTAGTAACGGGGTGGTAACGAACTTCATCTACTAACTTCATCTACTCATAGACTGACTTCATGATTTTGAGTTTCAGTACAACTGGGGTTATTAGTTGCCGTTTTTATGTTTGAGAGCAAATAAACTGACTTAGTGAGGGAAATTTCTGTCAGCATTCCATAAGCCATTATCCTCTGCCAAACATACATGAGCATGAAAAGAGTGAATGAGGACAACACTGACTGGGTGGGTCTGATCGCCCACTGGAAGGCTGACATGAAGCTTGCTTCCCCTCTGCTGAAAGGAGATGAGTGAGTACTAGAGGGTTGTTTGCAAGAAGCAAACACAAACTCCATCTGTGGCAAATAAGCTTAAAAAAAAAAAAAAAAAGGGAGAGAATGAAAGGGGAAAATCTCCTTACATGGGCCGCTACAGTCCCATCTCCATTGAGATGGCCTGTGTTTTATTGGGTTCCACGAGAACAAGATTAAAGATTAGTTTTTTTAAAAAAAGATTTATTTATTTATGCATACTGCAATAGCTGGGGTACAGGCCAGAGATGCAGGAGGGGGGAAAGGATTCAACAGAGACAGAGTGGGGAACAGAATAGGCGGATCTACTACAATCCACTGCTGAGGGGAGCAACGGGCAGGACAGGAGAGGTCTGCTGCACTCTGTGGGTCAGCTCCCTGGCCACGGGGCAAACTCATGCTGCAGTAGCTGCAGATAGCTTCAGAGTGCTGAGACTCAGCCCCTTGTGCCATCAGGGAGGCCCCAGATTAGTTTCGAAGATAATGCTATGATGCTTCCCTTTTTATGGAAAGGGGAATGAGAAGATACTTAGGGCAGGACAGTCACTTTAAGGTGCAGACCAACTGTAAAAAGCACACTACACAACTTTGCAAATCTCAAGATCTCCTGAAGTAGCTGACATCTTTGTGGGGTCGTCATTGCCGGCTTCACTCTGGCCCTGGTTCTAGCTAGCCTCCTGACTCTGGAGAATTCTAAGGGTGGGGACATTGGGAGTGTGGCTGATAGACCCAGACCCAGACCCAGACCCAGACCCAGGCAAACCTCTTTCCCCTCACACTACTTCACAAGCAGGACCAGAAACCACCAACATATACTCTGCAGTTTACAAAGTACTTTGCATGCAGACTGAATTCAACATTGGGTACCACAAAGCAATAGATAAATGCAATCTGGTTGCCCCCAACATCAGGAGCCTTTACGCTGGCCTGTGCACAGAGCTGAGCTACAAAGAGATTTCTAGTCAATAAATGTGGGTGGAATCAATGAATGATAAGGGATAGCCAGCGTGCACTCTTTACCCCCAAATACCAGCTCAAAAATGAAAGTCTCTGATGGCAGTGATAAACTACCTGAAACAATGTGCCAAATGCATCTAGTTTAGTATTATACAACATTCTGGAGATGAATATGCTACATAAATGCTATCCTAAAAGGAAAACCTGTGTAGTGGATGGATTAGCTATTAAATCAGAGAGACTTGTTCCAAAAGCATCTGTGCCTCACCAACGCTGGGTTAGTAATGGCATGCAGTTAGAGCAGAGCATGTAATAACGGTAATCATTAAAACGAGCTTCCCCCTGTATTACATGGTGAATTCAAATTTTCATTAAGGTCCTAACAATAGGGAACAGTTAAGTGAATTATGGCACGCTAACTGGATGGAATATTAAGCAGCCATTAAAATGAAAAATTGAAAGATTATGTAGCTACATGGAAGAGCGCACATGAAATTATGCTAAGTTAAAAAGTAAAATACAAGATTGTTTATGTGTTGAGGGCAAACTGTATAATGTGGGCTTTCCACACAGGTCCTGGGCAGTGTGAACAATACCCCACAGGGAATTCGACTCTTTGCTTAGGAATTGCTGAGTACTGGCATCGCGTGTGTTCCTATAACTCTAAACTCTGATGACAGCAATGCTGTAAATACAGATGCACGAGAATTGGAAGCTGAAGACATGACATAGGAAGGTAAACAGCTACTGGCAGGGGGAGGAATCTTTGCACAGTTATTTTTGAGAGTTGTTTTAAATAAAGAGTAAGGATGCTAATCAAGAAAAAATGTAATTAAGACAGGAACACATGAAAGTAAATATGATTTTGAGCAGGCTGGGCTTTCAGGAGCTGAGTGTGTTTAGGAAGCAGCTGTCTTTCCCTGAGAAAATGCCCATTTAGGGAATGTCCTCTTCCCCGGAGATATTCTCCAAAGAACCCCAGAAGTCAAGGGCCACCGCACCAGGCCAGCTCGCCAGACAGCACTGTCTCCTGCCTAATGACCATTACTCAGTCTGATCTGCGACTGTCCAGTGGCTGACCTAATCGGGGGCTGATGACTACATGTTTTAAGTCATAAGTTATCTATCTGGACATCACCTATAAATTCATGGAAAATGACCTGTAATATCGGGTGGCAGGCTGTGATTTCACGCCTCTTAGGCAGTGAGCAGAAACATTAAATCGACAGGGTGAGGATTTCTGTTGACCTCTGGAGTAGGAAGGTTTTCAAGTGGAACTACATATGGAGAGCGCATTGAACAAGAGAGCACTTTCTTTTGAACCAGGGAATATTAAAGCTGGAAGGGTGCCAGGAGGGTGGGCACACACGCGCCCTCCTGGGCGGATCTGACCAGGGTTCCGAGTGCCTCCATTCCACAAGGAAGAAGTTTCAACTTTGGAGTGGGGAATGGGATCAAAAAGGGGGGGGGGTGTGTGAAATGCATGGAACTATGGTGGTGGCACACGGGTGATTTGGTGATGGGAAACCCGCGGGGATTACAATCGAGATGGAAAAAAAAATGTGCAAAATGATGTAAAAATAAACTTTTGTAATAATTAAAAAAAAAAAGTTTCAACTTTGCTCTAATCATCACCAACTTGTTTCTTGCTTTGGCTACCAAAGGAAGCTCAGAGTTTATTCTGGTGCTTAACCTTAACAGTTATATGGGCATTGATACTGGATAACCACTTGCCCTGCTTTCTATATGGATTTTGATTTCCATTATAACAACTTATTTATTTTTATTATGGATAGGCTCCAGTGGATATTTTGAAAGCAAGTGGACATGTATCCGAGTGAAAAGAAATAAAAACACTTTATGGTAAATATTTTTTTTTGAGTGAGATGATAAGAAAAACCCTTCTGTTTACCACTTTCCCTTTCCTGCAGCAGGAAAGAACTGGAACAGGAGGATGGGACTGGGCCTTG